AGCTGAATCTCAGTGGAGAGAAGCAAGAACTTGGTTCCTTTTTGGGATAAAAAGCTGAAGGGCAGTGGTCACCTTCCATGGCCCACATGAGAATGCTGTGAGCACTAGGCGAGCCCAGGAGAGTCTCGCGTCCCCTCTGCCCCTGGGCCCTGCATCCTGGGAAAGTGTATGGGGCAGGCACAAGCATACAGTAGTCTCGTGTCCCCTCTGCCCCTGGGCCCTGCATCCTGGCAAAGTGTATGGGGCAGGCACAAGCATACAGTACCCATCCAGCTTAACATGAATGTTAGTCTTTATGCTGGGGAAGGGCAAAAGTGAACAATACCAATCAGCTGTAGTCCTATTTTAAAACCAGTCCATTTGTTGATTCAAGGTGGGAATCAAATCACAGCTGTGACATGCTGAAAAAGTCCTTGGAGTTTCACTAATTTTTCTGCTTGGCCCCTGGGGACAGCACGTCCTAATTCAAAGCAGGAAGCAAGTTCACCAAAGCATACGGTTTTTGGAAGCAATGGCCTACCTGTCAGCAGCTGTGAGAGACTGTCGTAGCATCTGATAAGGTAGGCCGTTGGCTTATGTCTTTCTTAACTAGTTAGTCTCTAAGATGCCATCCTGCCCTACTTTCTGCCTGACTTCAGCCGAACACAGCAAGTGCTCTCTCTCTAGTTCAGAGCACTCTGGGAAAAGGCCTTTTTCCTTCTGGGCCAAGCTGGTGATCTGTGAATTGGGCTGCAGGGGTCACTTTCCATCAAGAGATCACAGCTGCCAAGAGTTGAAATGAAGAAAGGAGGTTTCCTTGGGAATAGCTTTAATTGGCCTAGGCACCCAGGTGCCACAAGCTTTTAGGCACAAGCTGTTCTTCCACAGGCCTGAGAAAAAAGCAGAGCCTCAGCTAACTACCAAGTGGAAAAATGACCTTTGCTTATTTCAAAAAAAAAAGGGAGGAGGGGGCAGTAAATCTGCGGAGTCGAGAGAAGTTATCAAGAATAGCTACAGACCAAGGAAAGGGCAGTTGGAGGAGAACAACCTGTGCGGGCCGGGAGCGATCCGGGCCCTTTTCCGTGCTGCACGCGGGCTGTGGCCAGCAGCCCGGGCACGCCGGATCGGCGAGGGCAGGCGACGAGCTGGAATTAGGCACAGACGCTTAACGGTAGATTTAAAGATTGTTTACTTACACCGAGATGGCAGTGGTGCAGGCTGGAAAGCTTGCTTGAGTTGCGGTTACAGACAAAGACAACACGAACGGTCACGTGGAGGTTGCTAGGCTCCACGGAACAGAGCTCCGGATGCTCTGGGTGAGCGTGCCACCAAAATCGGACTCGTAGATACGTCTTATAAAAGTCGCGCTTGAAGACAGGAAGAGGTGGGTGGTGGATCAGGTCGCCAAGCTCCTCTGAATCTCACACAGGGTCTCTGTTACCTTGCCGTGTATCCAGAGTCCCCACGAGATGGATATGGAGTCCTCTTCGGCTTGGGCGGAAACCGCTCAAGCCTCTTATACGGCTAACAGGCCAATCGTTAGCCGCCACGTGGGAATAATTTAAAACTAGCCAATAGCGGGGAACGAATTTGCATGCGGGTGGCGGGAACTCTTTTGCACCGTGCATTTCTCTTGCAACTTGAGCAATGCACCCTGCAAAAGAAGCTGCAAAGAGGCGGGAAACTCATCCTTGCACCGGGGTTCTCCTCTGCAATAGGAAACTCTCCCGTGCAATGAAGCTGTAACCTGGCGGGGATAATTCTGGTGCCGAAGCGCACAAAAAATCATGCCTTTGGGTCATGACACAACCTAGTTAGATAAAAGACCAAGAGCACTGAAAAAGCAAAAGGGTCATTACCTGTGGCTGGCTCAGTGTCACTATCAGACAGCTCTTGTTCTTCTCTTCCCTCGGTCCTCCTGGTTACAACAATGCAACTACGATGTTTGAAACCATCCCAGAGACGATTCTCAAGGTAAGACTACGCTGTCCAAAAAAAGGGTGTTCTTATCTTGAGTTAGTTTGGGTTGAGGGAGCAATGAGGACACACTTGCTTGAGTTAGCAGCTTGAATTCAAGTTGTAACGGAGCCTGCTTTACACCAAATCAAGCCTGTTTTACACCCTCCTGGGCAGGCATGCATGTGTAGCCAGCTTTTATTTGATAGGTTTTCACGCTGGTTCTGTAACACTGTAGTTTTGCTTAAGCGGAGTGAAGTGCAGAATTGCCAACTCATGATTTTTGACATTGTTCTTAAAGACTATGCTTTGAGAACGTGAAAAATGTAGCTCTGTCTTTTATCTATCTATCTATATATATATATATGAATATATAGCTGTTCAGAACAGCTGCAAGAACAGGACATGCAGAGATGACATCTTTCTTTTATCTGTATAGATATAGATGGATAAAAGAGAGAGCTACATTTTTCACATTCCCAAAGTGTAGACTTCAAGAACACCAAAGATCATGAGAGTCAGCAACACTGGAAGTGGGCAATTCATTGAGAGCAGTTACTGCGGGGGGCGGGAGGTAGATATGCAAGAAACCAAGTCTCCTGAGTGGTAACTTTACAGGCAGGACTAGCAAGTGGCTGGGGATCCACCAAGGAGCTGGGAGACTTGATCCAGCTCTGCCACTGTCTTGTGTGACCTCAGGCAAGTCCTTTATGCCTTGCCTGTAGCTTGATGGGCTTTGGTGTTTTAGGTCAGGGCTTGGCAGCCTATGACCTGGGAACAATTTTATCTGGCCCACGGAGTGTGGAAATTGGTGGTGGCTTGGTGGTGGTGGGGCTTCTGCAGCATTTTGGCAGTGGGGAACTGAGTGGCGGTAGCCCCTTTCCTTCCCACCCCAGATTCAGCTGCATTATTTTGGCCTGTGCTCCTCAACGGTCCCTGCTATAGACTAAGCTGTTCCGGGCAGGGTCCATCACCATGCACCCACAGTGCTGGGATAAAGAAGCTGTACTTACAACGATTGCTAGGCACTCCTGGGATATGAGTGATAAGGAGGCTGCCTGCCCTTGCCTGTAGCACGAAGAGCCCTCCCCGGGGTGCCTGCACCGGAGAGAGCATCTGTGGGGAGCATCCCCAGCTGACAGCTGAATCCCTTGCTCTGAACCTGGTTATCTGACAGTGTTTCACGTGCCAGCAGCCACAGGCCCTCTTTCCAGGCTAGTGTTTCTACTGTTCCTGTGGCTGTAACTAAACCAATGGCAATGTCAGTAGTGTGGAGGATCTTAGCAAGCACATCCCAGTGCAAGCATAGCCCCTGCCTCTTGATTTTGTCACCATCAAGTAATAGCCACAAGCAGATGAACAAGCACTCCCTCTAAAGGGACAAGGTACAGTCTTCTGCAGACCTTGGAATGGGCCAGGATGGCTACTGTGAAATTGGTGGGTGTCCAGACAGAAAGAGGGGTGCAAAGAGCTGCTGTCGGGTATCCAATCCCCTTGGTTTCCTGGGAGCTGCATGTGCCCAGGCCCTGACATGGTATTAGAGCAGATATGTAGCTCTGGGCCCAGTCTGCAACAAAGTCATTTTACAGGACTTTACTGGGCTGAGTCAGTCAGTATTTGCATATTTGACTGGGCAATAAATCTTCCCAGTATTGTGAAAATTGATCATAGGAGCCTAAATGGAGAGTAGCAATACATTGCAGAGTACTGAGCTGTGGGGAGTAACCCACATGTCATTTGAGGGGCCATAGGTTCACCAACGACACTGGGTGGTATGGAGAAGGAAAAGAAAACTCCCTGAGTATAATAAACCCATGGTCATCTCAGATCACAGCATCCCTTGCTGACTGCCAGGGAATAAACAGGTCACTGAGGCTGTCAGCTCAGCCCTTTTCACCACCTCTAAATTAATCTAAAAATGGAGAATGAATATTGAGATTTCAGGCTGGCATTGTGTGTGATCCCAGGGATGTGGCCACCCCTGACTGTAGCTGCTGCTGACTGCTTGGGAACCTGAGCTCTGCTTAATGTCTTACAAAGTTCAGCACCATAGAGGACAACACCTAGATCACCCTGCAGACAACAGAGCCCAGGGAGTCCAAATACAGGTCTCTGGGGTCCTGGTTCAGCATAGGATAGACCCCAGGTTGGGATGCAGAGGTTGATCTGCAAATGCTGTTGCTTTTTCAGCCCCATTGTACTTAATGAACACCCAGAGACCTGATTGCAGTGGTGAGCTCCATGTACAGCAGCCATAAACTGACTCGCACTATTTATTGCACTCTCTTATCCATTATGACTAATCACTACAGAGCAGTGAAGCTTAGCTCTTTATTTCCCCCTGAACATATCTTCTGGCTTCATAACGCTGTAAAAAGAAAGATCATAAATGGGCAGTACTTAAGATT